GGGGGGGGGGGGTGGGGGTAGGAAGGAAACTTTTTTCTGAATTGTCAGTCTGCCCAAAAATACGTAACTTCTCCAATGTCGAAAAGTACTTTATGCATTTACTGTGGCTCTAAATTGACTCTTGCCTTATTTAGAACTGTGTTAGCATTCCTACATGACAGACATAATTTATTCATCAGCCTAGGACATGGTCCAAAGCTCAGTCAAGTCAATTTTCTATGGACTAGATTAGACTTTGGAGAGAACTCCCTGAAGAACAGTTTAAACTGTTAAGACAGCATAGCTGCAAATCGGAATACAGCCATCAGTGTGGGGAAAAATGGAGTAAAACGGGTTAAGCAAAAGGTACTGCTCCTGGTTTTGTGCAGCAAAACCCCACCCGTGCAGAAGGACAGTGCCACAATCAGTTATAACTCAAGTCCATTTTAAACAATGACTGAAATTCCGACCCCATGACAAGTACTGGAAGATTTTACCATGGGCTTGAGTGGAGCCAGACCCCTCCGAGTTTGAGATTTATGCCATATAGACCCTGTTCAGGCTCTCTGAACAGGAATGAATTTTTCCCATTGAGTCCAGTCTTTCCTGCTGTAAAGTAAATACTGATTTTGCAATTGACTTCTTAACAAAAATGTTCTGTTGAGCCTTCCACTGCTGACACAGATATTGCCAATGATCTTTATATTTTGAATATGTCATGTTTTTACTGCTAGGCCTACTATAGCAATGGGTTCACACCTACATTTAAATAACAAGTTGCCATTTTGTATGTGGTTACTACAAAGGCCAAACTAATTTTGATTATTTTTTTTTTTCTTAAGAATTGTAGGGTTTCAGGCTTCACTTTAAAAATAAAACTCTAAGATTATTTTAAGATACCTCACAACCTATGTGGATTGCTTACAATAGGAGGTCTTTGGTCTAAATTTCTTTAACAGTGTTCCTTTACCTTCTGTATGCCTTTATTGAATGTCTTAAGTTCAAACTTAGAATTCTGCATCTAACCATGGCATCATTTTTTTTTTTTCTGTCAAATAAACAATGTGGGGGTTTTTTTATCAGATAGGTGACAGTAAATAGATATGGATCAAATTATGTTTTATTTTAATTTGCTTATCTGATAGAACACTTTAGAATGAATTAGAATCAGTGTGTTTTAAAAATTAGCAGAAAAGTTAAAAAGCAAACAAATTTGAATTTGAGGCTGTACAGCACACCTCATGACCACTGAACCCATGTTCTTTTGATCTAGATTTCTATTATGCTATGCCAAAAGAGGTCTGAGCAGCTGAAAGGAAGATCAGGTGAATGCTCTCACCCAGAAAGGGTTTGGTTAGCAGACAGTACACCATGATGGCAGAAGTGCAGACGTTTTCACATTGCCCTTAAGCTAAGAGCGAGAGGAAAATGTGTTCTTCATGCCCATTCCAGCCTTTGAACTCTATACAAAGCTGCCAAGGAGAACGCTAGCCACTGACAACTGTGATAACATTTTTGTGACGAGCATACTTCTTTTCTAAGGAGTGGAATACGATCTGCGATACGGCTCAAGTAGACCATCAAGCAGTTTTTCTGATGGCAACTGTTGTTGGTCGCTTCAGAGTTAGGCTGGTTGAAGTACTGCGGCTACATTTCCCAGACTGAGGAATGCGAGCTACTCCAAAGTGATACATGAAGGCAGTCTGAACAGCCAAATTCCTTCAGCTAGTGTGGGGCCTTTCTGCCGCAGTTTCCAGTGGCGGTGTCCAAACAAACTAAATTTAGAAACACCTACTACTGAGAACTGATCCTCTGCCCAACCCCTGCTTGCCATTGACTAGGAAAAAAACAAACACAGAGGAGGCAGAACATACATTATTTTTTCCATAACTAAGAAGTTTTGGAATCATTTCAGGTAATTCCTCCCACCTCCCCCTGCCAGTTAATGGTATTTGAATGGGCTATTTGGCATGGGGAGGCGCTTCCTTTCAGAGGGAGCTGCACAAGTGATTTGGGCCACATCCTCAGTGTTTTACCGATCAATGCATATAACAGAAGAAACCTTTCAACTGAGTTTAGCTCTCCTCTAATTGATATCATCTGCATTAAAGGATCACCTAGAGATTTGTAGTGCTCTAGAATGTAGGATCCTTCTCTCTTGCCAGGTAGCTCAAGGTTATGAAAGTCCTGCAATAAAAGCCTTCGGTTCCCTGATGCGGTTGAGATGTAATTAACAAGGCGGTTGCTGATGGTTTTCGACACCATGCTGAGCATGCTGATATCCTTCACTGAAAAAGCACAACCCAGTATACTTGTAAATCTTTACTGCAAGAAAAATGCTGATCACTAGTCAATAACTTTATCTTACTTCAAAAATTTGCCAAGAAATAAGATTTACAAATAAAACAAAATTTAATTACTGTTTATCTCCTTTGCCAACAAACTGTAGTAATTAGAAATGGATAGATCTAAGGAATACCCTTCACACATAATAGGCAAAGCCCACTTCAAATAGTTTGTAATTCTCATTTGAATTTTTGTCATTTGGTTCTTCATACATAAAAGCTGAAAATTCAGAGACTAAGTCATATAAAATGACTTCAACTAGCTGGAAGCGAAAACATTTTAAATAATAATGGCTTTTTCTAAATGGAAGATTTTTGTGGTAATTTCTCAGATATTGGAAGTAACACCTTTTTTATAAGATTCTCACCTGAAAGATAATTCAGTACAATTTGGAAGATCTCTAATGGAAGTGTTTGAAAATATCCAAGTGTTGACAGAGATTGGGAATCTGCTTCCGAGATGTTGCAGCGCTGTCTGTAGCGACGGTTACTGCGTCTGTATTTCTGGTTAGGAATCAAGGTGTAGCCGGTCCCTGCAGTGGATGTCATTGTTCTGTCAGTCCCATAAACTTGGAGAGAACCTGGAGAGAAAATAAGGAAGTCCTATTTTCAGAGGAGGAGAATACTATACCCAGAAGGAGGCTAAGAGGAAATCACTCCATTGTAGACACAGCAATGGAGTGTGAAAAACTTGTCATACGCGTAGGATAAATTTTTGCTTGAATTTAGTGCAATGACATGCAATTTACTAAATAATTTTCTACTTCTGTGTCTCAGAGAATGGAGTATTCAGCTGATCTTAGAGGAGGAAAAGATAAAAGCACTGAGGGACATCATATGAGTGGGACATCAGAAAGTTAGGAAGATAGTTCTAAATGGAAACTCTTGAGGAAGTATATGTGATGGTACAAGCTACAGTAATTAACATTCTCCTACCTCCCTACACTAATTATTCAACGGAATACGAAAAAGTTATAGGGATGTTATTGAAATGATTGCCAAGTTACTTGATTCCTGTAGAGTGATAACTACTTATACGCATGCTTGCATATGACAAAAAAAGAAGAATAAAAGGAACAAAGTGATGGTTCAAACCATTTTTCCCTGCAGCATTTAAGATGATACATGGCTTAATTTCATATAATGACTATATGTGTAATATACAAATAAATGATACGCTATTGCAATCTAAAAAAACCCCAGTGACCCAGGCTTTCCCAAAATCATGAGGGTCTGAAAAGTAATGGGCTTTAAAAGGTCAATAAATATTTTCTTTTGATATGCCTTCTGGTTTTATGAGTCTCTAGAATAGGTACGCTTCACATTGTCAGGCAACAATGAGTTAGTGACTCACTACCTCTAAAAGTATTTTTTTAAACTGAGATTTTTCACACTATTTCTTGATTCCAGCAGCTGAGGCTTCAGGGGAATTGCCAACGAGAATGAGCGCTGCAGTGTAATTACAAGAGCTGGCAGCACTGGTTGTAACGTAACTGGAACCCGTCCAAGCTGCAGTGCAACATCCCAGTTACCATCAGTGGGAAACACATGCAGAGAATAGACCTCATTGTTTCAAAGATTAAAAATTTACAAAAATTACAGAAAACAAGTTCCAAACGTCCTTCATATTTATTACGAAGCACGCAAGCCAGACCTCTCTAATATGCCACTGAGCAAAATTACCACATCCACAATGGAAGCACTGTTTGTAGTGACAACTGAAAGAATATGGGGCATTTCATTAAAACTGTTACAAATGGGTTTGGCTGCCTTGTGCTGGTGTGCTGGATAGAGTTTGCATTGTGCGTTTAAGGAAGTTATACTTCACTGGAAGCATTTTTAGTTGAAGTATGGTATAATTCTAGCTAGCTAAAGAAGCTTATAGTTTAAACTTGCACAATGTTCATGAGCAAATGTAGCTGCTTCTAAAATTAGTGTTTCATTAGGCTTTTACACTGCTCAGGCAAGAGACAGAAAATTGAGGTAACGCCTTTAAGAACAGTCAAGAAACCACCTATAGATACACATACCATTATATGAAAAAATGTTCATCTTCTGAAAGCAAAGCCTAAAGTCAGTGGAAATTTTATACACACAACTGGATTCAAGACAACTTAAATTCCTTCTGCACAATATACAAAGCAGCTCCACCCCTGTTTAAAAACGGGGCACCACTAGACTTTGTCCAAGACAGGCTAAATCTGACACATATTCCTGGTTCATACTTTAGAAATAAACTTGCGATCCTATGATACTTTCTTTTCCTCCTCCACTCCCTTTAGTGTCTTTAGCAGGACTGTACTGTGAGGATTTATGGCATCTTGAGCGTTTGGGTTTTTTTTAATCTTACCTGGGGTCTGCAGTTGTGTTACATGGAAGAAAAAAAATACTTTGCCACAAGGGAGGTTTTCAGAAGTACTCAGCCAATTCCAGTCTGTTTCTGTTCAATCTGATTGAAGTTGAATTGCCTACCAGTATTTTAATTTAGAGCAGAGCTAGATAAAATTAATGTAAATAAAAATGAGTACAAGCAGTGAGTTTCAAAGCCAGAGCTTAGAGACTTTACTGAAAGCCCCCATTTGTTTCCTCTTTGACTTAACGTGTTTTTTATTTCTTAGGGAGTTCAGCCAAAGCGGGGCAATGGTCTGTGCATCTCCATCTGCTGCTGGGATACCACTTGTTTATAATCCAGACTGGAAAATTCAAAGGTAAATGTTAAATATTTAACAAGCTAAACTCATAATATTAGCCAAGAAGGGTCATCTTATTTGTTGCTGTAAGCTAATTTGTTTACAAGGCAGAAAGCATCAACCCGCTCTAGAGTGTCTCTTGTCCTTAAGCAGTCGCTAAACTCCTGCTAATGGATGCGCTTTTGTCCTGCTATTTCTCTGAGCCCTGTGTTAGCATTTGGCAAACATTTATTGCAAAAGGCTGTTTACTTTGGAGATTGGTTTGGAACATTTCCGTTTCCCTGCTTCGTCACAAAGAGCATAAAACTAATTGCTTCAAACATTAACTCAACAGGGTTTTTTTTTCTCTTTTTTTTTTTTTTCCAATTTTCTCTTTTTCCTTGTCAGTGCAAATAAAAATGTATGTGTTCGAGTGAGGGATGGCAAACCTTAGAGCGCAGCCGTGGAGTTATATTAGTACTTGTTACCCCCTGGCCTACACCAACAATTTACAAAAATATGTATTTTTATTTATGCTAAGGCTCTTCATCAGGTTGGTAGTGCAAACCAGTCCCGTAAGCATCTAAATCGGTGTATAACCATGAGTAGAAAGCAAATCTCGGGAATCCTGATCCCACTGCTGGTGGCAACTGGGGTTTTGTGTTGTGAGGGAGGGCTGGCGTGGGCTCGTCCCCTCGGGGTCTGCTCGGAGGGGAAATGCCAGCACCTGCTTTTTTTTCCTCAGCTCAGGCTGGGTTTGCTCCTCAGACAGCAGTATTTGGTGGACAGGGTTATATTTATCCTTTACCTGTGCTTTTGGGTTGGATTTAGCCCGGCTATGACAGACCTTTATGCCAAACGACCGGCTAGGCCGCTTCCTCCTCTGCTTTCCGTGGCCGCTCTCCCTCACAGCCCGCCAAAATTCGGGCTAGGGGGCTGAAAATGGGGACCTGTGCCCCCAAACCTACACACGGGTAACAGAGAAGGTCTCGTGGTCGGTGATTACTTACAGGCAACACCTTATGGGCTCTTTTTTACCTCAGGGAGACTCCCTCCCAAACACCCCCTCAGCCGGGTGCCCACCAGGCTGCCTCTGAGGGGAGCAGCAGAGGAATGGGGGGTGTGGGGTGAACAGACCCCGCTGCCTCTA